AAAAAAAAAAAAAATTACCGTACGGGACTCACCGATTCATTGTTCGGACTCGCCGATTCCGTACAGTGAATCGACGATTCACTGTACAGAATCGTCCAGTTCTCTCTAGAACCGGACGATTTCCGATTTTTAGCTGATACGATCCACTTTTTACGATTTCCGAGTCGAACACTGGCGAGTCCGATTCTACTCGGTGTTTTTCAAAAACATCGGTGTTTTTGATATCAACTCTCAAAAACAATATTTTTTAAAAAGGGATGGTATAGGGGGCTCGGACAATAGGGTTCCTTGAAGGGTGCTCAAGTAATTTTTTTTTATTTCAGATTGAACCTAATATCATCCGATAACCCAAAAAAAATAATAATATTTTGTTTTTTTATGTAAAATTATATTTATTTAAAATTTAAAGTATAATTGTATTTTACATGATGTATAAAATAAAATAAATAAAAAATATTTTGAATAAAAAATTGACCAAAATAGCTTTGGAATATAATGTATAAAATATAATTAATAAAAAAAAAAAGAATAAAAAATTGACCAATATAGCTTTGGAATAATTTAAGGGTATTTTAGTCAACTTTATGTTCAAAATATTTTTATTTATTTTATATTTTTACCAAAATTTTAGATAAATATTATTTTAAAAAAAAAAAAAAAGAAAAGAAAAAGCTGACATAGACCTATTAACTTACAGTTACAAATGAGCCCAATAGCTCATATTGAATTTGAGCCGATCCAATGATTACAATTATATTTGGTATTTAAATTTTATTTTATTTTTTATAAATTCAAATCACTTGAAATTTTGAGCGTATGTTATTTAAAAATTGGCGAATCTAAAAAAAATATCAAAAAATAATTTGAAAAAATTAGTTGATCAAAATATTCCCCAAAATATTTCAAAGGTATTTTGATCAATTTATATTTTAGGAATTTTTTTTTAATATTTTTATTAGATGCGCATTGATGAGAAGAATAGACGTCTAAAATTTCATATGATTTGAATTTAAAAAAATAAATAAAATAAAGTACAAAATAAGGTTGTGACCGTCAGATCGGCCCATATTGAATCTGGGCAGTTGGGCTCATAAGTAGCTGTAGGCTAGTGGGCCTATACCGGCTTTTTCCAAAATAAAAATAAAAATAAAATAGCATACTCTTTTTGTGGCCGTTGGATGTGCCCATATTTAATTTGTCATTTTTTTTTTTTGGGTAACTGGGGAAAAAGCCCCCTATCTATTTTCATTAATATAGATAAAGAAATACAACTTATAATTTTACAACCCCATGATGGGACATCTGTATCATAAAGAAAAAGGAGGGAGATAAAATCCGAGAGTCTAGCGCGTCAAACCGTAGCACCAAAAAGATGCAGCCTTTTTGCTAAGTGAATCCACTACCATACTGGCCTCGCGATAGATATGAAAAATAGAACCACACACGATTCGAAAGCATAAAAAGAGATCATTTGGGGTTTGTATTTAAAGCATAAAAAGAGATCATTTGTTTTCTGGTATATCAAAGACGAATCACCTTTTTTTTACACGAAACAAATAGTTTTGAGAAGGCACTTTGCATGCCCAAATAAAAAGCTTATTTTTTTTCCCCTATTTCACCTCAAATTTCGAACATGATTTAAATGGGGATAAATTATCAACATATGGACTTCTGATATTGGAATTAAAAATTTTAATGGAAAATATGTTTGGGATTTTGGAACCGCATAAAATATTTGGCTCAAGTTGCTTGTGTGGATAATATTATCAAAATGCCCTTCCTCATTAAGGGTTATGAATATGAGATTAGGGAAGTTTAAACATTTTATCAAAATTCTTGAGGAGAAAAAGGATTCTTTTTACAGTGATTTATGTACTGACCCTAAAATTTTAGGTAAAATACAAAATGCTTCATTTATAGTGGGAAATTACAAAGAAGGTCAGTCAATCAACATTTTTGTTATTTTTTTTCAAAATTCCCATCGGTCAATGCGAATTTTGATTATTCTTTATTTTTTATTTTTTCGTTAGTAGGGTAGTGCTCCAAGCTTTAAGACACTGTGTTACTAACAAAAAAACTAAAAAAAAAATTTCATCATTTGGGTTAACTTAGAGGCAATTTTGAAAAAAATAAAAAAATGGGATCGTTTGCTTCTCTTTTACATCTTGCTCGTTTCTAAAGCCAACCCATGTACCATAGGCGAGTCAACTCACCTTGAGATCATACCTTCCAATGTTCTTCTATTGCATTATTGGCTTGGAAAGCTAGAGCTCTTGTTCACGCTATGAGAAACTGAATTTCTAGCTAGTGGGGTTGCAGAGGTCTAGGGTTTCTCTAGAGAGAGAGAAGCCTTGAATCTCTCGTCTCAGGTGAGAAGTTGATGATCTTTCTGAAGTGTTTTTGCAGAGAATTTAGGGTTTATGAGGATCTTATGGACAGAAGAGTCAAGGAAATATAGGGTTTTGTAGAGGGATAAAATTTCTATAAGGCCTAGGCTTTATGAAAACAAAATAAAGCCTCACATCAAATTCTCATCCAAAAAACACGGTTGGTAATAAAATCTCTATTATGCCTCTAAAATCTATTTCAATACCCATAATAAAATTTGAAACTAAAAAAATGGTATGGATCTTGATAATATTTGAAGACTTATTTTTAGGACAAACATATGTCTAGATAATTTGTTACAATTTACCCTATTTTCAGAGTTTGAAATCCTAAGTTTTTTTCACAACCATAATGTTCATGCTGAGATGATGTATATAAAAGTTTTCCAATACTTGAATTGTAATTTTCGGAAGTTATGAGGTGAGGCTTTACTT